ATAATGATAATAATGATAATAACAACAATAATAATAATTAAGCTCGAAATATCACTTTTTTCTTATCCTCTCCCGTCTCATCTTCCTCCTCCACCTCCACCTCCTATTCCACGTCCTATTCCACCGCTTCTTCTTCTTTTTCTTCTTCTTCTTCTTCTTCTTCTTTACCTTATCTTTATTGCCATCTTATTTCATCAAAGCACACCTTTCGAGATGCTCACGTCTTGTTGTACCCGTTTTTTTGTCAGTTTTGTCAGATGAGCGAGGAGCTCCAAACAATTCAGAGGAAGCTAAGAGAGATCTGCACGGAAAAGGAGGAAGGAGACAAACTTCTGGAAGATATGGAAAAGTCTAACTCTATCTGTCTGTCTGTCTGTCTGTCTATCTGTCTATCTGTCTGTCTGTCTCTCTCTCTCTCTCTCTCCCTCTCTCCCCCCCCTCTCTCTCTCTCACTTTCCCTCTCTGTCCTTCTCTCTCTCTCTTTAACACACCGTCTTTCTGAAATATATGTAATCAACTTGTTGTCTTTCGAAAAGAAAGATCTGCTGTTGCAAAATTTCACGTCAGGACTTTCTTCGCGTGATTATCGCTTTGTGAGTCCACACTTAAGGTGAAAGTAAATGTCGATTCCCCATGCTTAAACTAAAATAAATTAGAAGCTTTTTGGTGCAAACCTCAGCAGCCTTTGGATGGCTGCATTGGGACTAGAGACCACAAATATGTGAGTAAGAAGTTGAGTAATTTGGATCGGAGAGCTCGGTTTTTCTGTAAACCACATGTTTTATGTTCACACTATTTTATACCTGTTTTGTTACCATCTCCCACTGAGTGTTATTTACTGCTTTATGAGAGCCGTGTATCTCTAGTGCATTTACAAACAACGTGCCATTTGTTAAATCATCAATCTCAATAAACTTACATTGTCCTCTTCTCTGTAAGGTATGACGGGTATGTTATATTTGCTATCGATAAGTGAACTTACATTTCCAAACATTTTCACTTTCAGATTTCTATCAGCAACGAAGTCAAGAGCTTTTTGAGGTTACCTCCAGCTCAAAGATCCACAGAACAAATACAGACGGTAGGAACAAACATAGTCAGACACCCTGGTGAACACAGAGAGAGAGAGAGAGAGAGAGAGTGAGAGAGAGACAGAGACAGAGAGACAGAGAGACAGAGAGACAGAGACAGAGAGAGAGACAAAGACAGACAGACAGACAGACAGACAGACAGACAGACAGACAGACAGACAGACAGAACGAGACAGACAGATAGACAGACAGAACGAGACAGACAGACAGACAGACAGACAGACAGACAGACAGAGACCAATAGACAGACAGACAGACATTGAAACAGACATTGAAACAGACATAAAGACAGAAAGAGAAAGAGAAACGAAAATAGAGAGAGGCGACCGGTTGGGGGTGGGGGTGGGAGGGGGCAAAAGAGAGAGAGGATGAAATAGGAGGGGGGCCTTCTGTTTATGTGAATGCTGCTGAGTAGGATATTTTTGTTTTTGTGAGAGCCTAACGCCCCTCTAAACCTAGACAAAAAGAAACCGATTCGAAGCTTGCGGTTAGGGGTTGCAATTTTTACAGGATACACCGTGGTCGATACAAAGATGCCTCTCCGATAGTAGAGAGTTGAAAGCGTGCGAGTTTGGACCAGTGACATGCTTAACACTATCCTTACGTGTGGGGTCAATTTGTACCGCTAGGGTTGTATTCTTCACATTTTAGAATACTTGTAGTGCGAAGATCTCTTTGAAACTTTCAGTATTTCTCAAAAAATCATTTTGACAGATTGCTATGCAAAGCGCACGGATCGGGTTAACCAGTAAATTTCATCTTTGTAAAGTGATGGCACAGAGTTTCCCACGTTGTATGGATACGATAGTAAAACACGACGTACTGATAGGATTAAGAGACCCTTCTTTCGTTTTAACGACCACCTGCCCCTATGTGCGCTCAAGCTTACGGGGGATGAGCGGATTTGATGTTGATGGTTGATAAGTATGACTATACGGAAAGCTATTCCTCCTTTGTACATTACTAATTTTGTCCTCCAAGTTTTCAGCATCACTATCTTCCCAAAAGCTCCACTTCTATTTAATATATTTGCCTAAAATAATACTAAACGGAGTAGAAATTAATGTTCAATGCAGTGAGCATGCAGTTGATAAAATAGAGGAATATTCTGAGGTTTGGTAGATCTATGTTGTGACTGTTAACAACCGAGTAACGTTGTGAGTTAGTAGAACAGGCGAGCTTTACACTAAGGGATAAGCAGTAACCATTTTGTATCTCACAACATTCTCTGTTGAAAAGAGTGCGTCGTTTTAGGATCGGTCCTATCTCTCCGTTATCCCTCTGTGTTGTTTCCATCTCTTTCTTACTCTTCCCCCAGAGCTTGAGTCTCAATAGTAGATAGTCTCAATAGTAGATAGTGATAACAGGGTGAAGTGGTTAAGTAAAAAAAAATGTGTAAGTCCTACACTGTTATTATCAGGGGCGGCTCGTGGGGTTAAAAAGTGGACGTGCACAATTAAGCTATCGCATGCAGAAGATAGTCAAGAGCATAGTAAATGAGACGGTGCATAATTGTAGGATCTTTGTGTTGGTTAGGGAGGACTTCGTGCTTTTATTTTCATTATTTTTACTTGTAGCTTTAATTTCTAGTACTAAATTTGCTTGTTAGCTAAATATCAATTTCGTTCATCCTGTATTGGAACTGAACACTCTAGTAATAACTTTCACTACTCCACTACAAAACCATTCAAAGGCACAACTCGTAGAACGGTCACGTTCACCTCCCTCAGGTTCACGGTCACAGAGTCACTTAAAATAGTGGCAAGACCATAGAGTTACCCCCTTATAGTGTACATCTATGGGCAAGACAGACAATGAACCAATCACAATTCACTTGAGCACTCCGCTGGATTGCACCGGAGCTCACATAATATTGGCAAAGAATTGCGTACGGTCTATCTCGTTTATTTTTAGACTGCTTACTGTGGGCTATGTTTCGGCACTATTCGGCAGGAGCATATTTGAGATGTGCCGTTTTATTAATATTAATGTACCGCCAAACTCGCTACGAGTGTCGTCATCGCTTGGGTTATCCCCAAGAGCGGTTTATAGGTCATGTTACACTGTTGAATATCCTATTATGTAAAGCTAAAGCGCGTGGACTTTGACATAGCATAGTAGATGTTTTACGGCACTATAGACACATAAATGACAGTTATGGCAACAGTGAGGACCTTGTTTTGATATAATATTTAGCTAGTGTTTGTTTCTGACTTCTTTTACTTTATTATTGTGGGTGTTTTACGTAATAGAATGCAACGACTGTGCTCTATGGATGAACTGCGCCTGGTTATTATTGTTATTGTTGTTATAATTGTTATTGTTGTTATTGTTATTGTTGTTATAATTGTTAATGCTATTATTATCATTATTATTATTATTATTATTATTATTATTATTATTATTATTATTATTATTATTATTATTATTATTATGTATGCCTTTCATTCCTATAGGCTATGTTTGGCCTACAAAGTTTGCCTTCCTTCGCTGAGTACCCACTACACATGCAGGAAAAATTGACACGTGTGGCTTGGTTTGAAGTGTGAGTACAACACGAAGTACATCTTATTAATCTCTTCTCTCGATACTAAATCATGATCTTACTTAACCCTATCCGTACGCCCTGGGTTCATTTTGTACCCCTGGGGTTGTATTCTTCACATTTTAGAATACTTGTAGCACAAAGATTTCTTTGAAACTTTCAGTATTTCAAAAAAAAAAATAATTTTGACAGACTGCTATGCAAAGCGTACAGATCGGATAAACGAGTAAATTTCCTCTTTGGAGAGTGGTGGTACAGAGTTCCCCACGTCGTATGCATACGACAGTAAAACACGACTTACGGATAGGGTTAAGTGCGCACAACTGTTTTGGAAAAGCCACTTAAGGAGTTAACATGAGTAATGCACTGCTTGAACGTTCCTTACAGAAAAAAGGGGACACCACTATTTGTTCTGCTCTGCTGTTTATAGCGTCTGTCAACTATATGCAAGTGCACCGTAAATGGACTTTCCGTGTCACTGGCTTTTTGCGACTGTTTACACTTCTCTTCCATCTCTTTCCATTTTTTGGGTTGTTTTGCTACTCTGCAGAATGGCAAGGATAAGAGCACTGGGGAGAGGGGGTGGGTGAAGTTGAAGGACGGGAGAAATATATAATATTATGATATAATTGTGTCACGACACGGTGGAATCAGGCGCTATAGAATTATTGTGCACATGGAATTATTTATATAGCCTTTAAGCTTGATTAGTCTTACTTTTTATGAAAAAAATACGCAATTATCTTGAATTAAGTCGAAATATTTGCAATTAAAAGAGGTTGATGTAGCTTGGTTCCAGAAAAGAGGTTGATGTCGCTTGGTTCCAGTGATAAAATCATCGTGAAAATGGCCGCCAATGTGTTTGATGGCGTCTTTAGCTTGAGAGTCCCGAAAACTGAAAATTTACAATTTTGTGTGTGTCTTTAATCATCCCATTTTTTTCAGTAAAATCCACAAATAAAATTTAATGTATTTTTTTCAATAGACATGCTAGGTGTTGACCAAAAAACCCCTAAAATTCGATGAAAATTGCCAAACCAGCAGAAAAATGTTAATACCTTCGATTTCACTATTTTGACGAGTGCCTGATTCCACCACAATTCCACACACAAACAAACACACACACACACATACACACACACACACACACACACACACACACACAAATATATATATATATATATATATATATATATATATATATATATATATATATATATATATATATATATATATATATATATATATATAACGCATTCTTAGACGCGGCGGGAATCAAAATCAAGGGTCCTCTGAATGATATCCAAATTACTCACCATACTTTGATTGGTAACGGACATTTTCACGAAGTGTGAAAAAAATGATCCCCTTATTTAGAGAAATCTAACAACATTTAAAAAAGCAACGAGTGAAAGAAAGCGAAACAGGAAATATTGAGCCCGTGAACTGTTTCATTGTGTGTATCTGAGATCGCCAGTTTTGAGACAATTGTATTTTTACAAGTGTACAGTTTGGTTTATTTGTTTACATGTTTGTTTATTTGTTTGTTTGTTTGCTTGTTCTTTTTTATGAGGGGTTGGGTACGTCATCGAGTGTTCAGATTTATATCTTATTATTTTTTTGTTCGTTTAAATTTTTTTCTTGATTTTCTTTTTTTGTCTTTGTTTTTGGTTTGTCGGTTTGTTTGTTTGGTTTTTTGTTTGTTTGTTTGTTTGTTTGTTTGTTTGTTTGTTTGTTTGTTTGTTTGTTTGTTTGTGTGTGTGTGTTTATTTGTTTATTAGTATGTTTTTTTCAAGTGGGTGGAACTGCCAGGCTGGAAATGGTCAATGGAAATTGATTACAAAATGTGTGTCCCGTCTTTTTAGCGAGCGATGTTGAAAAAATATCCTCTGTGAATTTAGAGAGACTCACAATAAAAATTAAAAAAAGATTAGAGTTTAAGTTAAAAAAGAAGAACTTACCAGAGGAGTCCTCCAACCTCCTGCTGGATAATCAATTTTGTCTTCTTCACTTTTGATGACCAAAGAATCGCTAGAGGTAACAGTGTGATCTTTACCGAACATGCGATGAAGTGGTTCATGTTCTTGATCATAAACTAGTATAATGACTAATATCGGATGTTTTATCAGACTGAATAATATTTTATTCTTTTTCTTTAGATCTTGTCACTTGTACGTCACTCAAAACGATATATAATACTAAGCTACTTTGTTGTGAGAAAAAAAATTATTGACCATTTATAATAAATACTGATGCGAGTGTGTGTGTGTGTGTATGTGTGTGTGTGTGTGTGTGTGTGTGTGTGTGTGTGTGTGTGTGTGTGTGTGTGTTTTAGTTTGTACGCGCATTAGTACGTCCCCAAGACTGAGGTCTTTCTTTTTTCTCAGAGTGACACCGAAAAGAACCATCATTCGCCAGGGGCACTTTGCAGAAAATTTCTACTTCATTTTGTCTGGTCAGGGTAAGTTACTAAACATTTTTATCTCTTTTTAAACTGAGTTTCCTCAGAAACTCAAAGTGAGAATGAGGTTGTTTCTTGTTGTTTTTTGTTTTTTGTTGTTGTTGGTAAATGTTTTAAGGCGCTTGCAACACTGCATGAGGTCATATGAGCGCGCGGACATATTAGGCATCATTTTCTACTTGGTAGAAAATTTTGAATTTTGCCCAGGTGGCCACCGAATCCAACTCTTATCGATTTTTCGGACCACCAATTTATCTTTTAAACTTGCGCAACTTGCAAATGGAACCTCCTAGATTTGTTTGTCCTTATCCCTGAAGGTTAGGTGTTAGATCTTACCTACCCACAGATCATGGGAGTGGCTGAAAGATAGTAGCAATGAGTAACCAAGGAGCAGCAGTAGAAAGGCAGCAATAGAATTCAGGAGCCGAGAGGAGGTGGCAAAGTGGTCGGGGCAAGGGGACAGAAAGTGGAGACGAAAGCAAAGGCCAGAACATGGTTAAAGAGCAAGAAAGGAGGTGAAAGGAGAAAATTTCAAAAAAGAAAATTTTCCGTCGCTGACGGGTTTCAAACCCGAGATCTATTGAATGAGAGGCGAACACCGTACCGCTAGAACACGAGACCTCCCCCCCCGAAAAAAAATTAAAAAAAAAAATATATATATATGTGTACCTGCCGGTCAACATCAGTCTGATGAAGAAAATTTCAAAACTGAGTTAACATTATTTTAGAAAAACTATCACCTTTTCCCTACAATTTAAAACAAGAATGAAGTAAACATGGCCATGTTTGAATAAAAAAATATAGAACTTTTAACTTTTCGAGGTGAGGAAACACGAAAAGGAGAAAATGGCCTCCGAAGTTGAATAACATGTTTCCATAGCAATGGGGGTCTTAGAATGGAGACAGCGACTTGAAATTTAGCTGTTATCTTGGCTATGCCACTACAAGGTAACAAACAGAAGTAGAAAACTATTCACTCACCGAGAAAAAAAAAAAGGAAAAAATAAAAATTTTCACGAGAATGGACTTCGATCAGGTCAAATGCAACAAAATATTAGCATTCTACAAGGTACCAGATACTAAATTTTCAGAGTATCTGTAAGTCAAATGTATCTGTTCCGTATGAAAGATCTATGTCTCCTGGGAATTTTGGTACCATAATTTTACCTTTCTGTCAATATTTAAGAGAATGGCAGCTGTTTCAATTTAACATAATAATCAAATATTGCTGAAGTCGATAACTGGCTGCACCCCATGTTTGACAGATAATAAAAGAGTACGAAGTGCACCAAACATCTCTACATTAACAGAGTACAATTATTATAGCAAAGAAATTAAGCCTAATTTTTTTTAATGACTGTGAGATCATTACGAATCAGTATTGTATTGCCTCAAACACAATGATCTGTCGTTATTTCAGTTAAAACACCGTGAGTAGTCTCGGCAGGCGTCGCGCCAGCCCTCGCGGCGAACGAGTCGGCCCAATACTGTAGTGTACTGAGTGCTCCCAGTAGTTTCGCGGAAGGGTTCATGCAAAATAATTGCAAGCCAATGACTTTATTCTAATAGAAACAGAACGATTCTTTCCATTGATACTTTTTTAGCCGGTATTTCACACATTTCGTGTTTAAAATGACCTTTGAAAACTTAGACGATTTTTTTTCAAGGTTTTCTATCCAAACGCCAAAGTCCAAAAATAAAACCACAGGGAACCACGCTCAAAGCTGTATAGTTCTCCGCCCATGAAAAGACGGTATTTAATCATCAATCTTTCTGCAAAGCATTCGAATTCATGGGTGTCAAATTTGAACCAGCCCACCTCGCATTCCGACCGCCAGGGGCTTCCCTTTCCACGGCGATTCTCCAGCTCATACTCGGATTATAATATACAAACAACTTTCACTATTGCAAAGAAAGAAATCTTAACTTTTTCAAAGTGTTCAGCATTTGGTGCTTTATAGCAAAAGAGCAAAGAAATAGAGATCTGAATCACCTCCATTTTAGCAAAGCCACGCGCTCTGAAGGCTGCGAGTCGGCTTACGTGCCGTGTTTGCGCTACCTAATTATACGTTTGCAATAGCACCATAAACACACGAGTGCACACACACGCACAAACACACACACACACACACACACACACACACACACACACACACACATACATACAAACACACCAACACAAATACACACACATGCACATAGACCGCCTTGGTGCCCTCTTGGTTAGGAGTCCGCTTTGAGAGATCTAAAGGAAGGTTAATCTTATAAAAGCACTAAAACACAACAGAAACGAATTTTTAAAGTCAACCCAAGTGCAAAACTGAAAGATCAACAGACGATAACAGCTAGCATGGCACGCCCGCACAGTCATCTGTTTACGTAAACAAGCTTGACGTGAGCTAGAAGTTACCGTTTTTACTCTGTTTTACAAATCAGAGTTGTCTACATTTCAGACCATTCATGCTCGAAAAGGGGTCAAAATCTAAAAATAGTTGCGAATGAAGAACGTTGAAGCAAAGAACTCCAACGTGGAGTATCTTTGGTTGAAGCAAAGGTGACCATGGGGTAATGGTTCTGAAAATAAGCTCACAGCCACACACTAGCAAGGTCCAATTTCTTTTATCACGTCACCCAAGCTCACAACAAACAACACATACCTCCGAAATAAATCAAAATAAGATATTTATAGTCGATTAGAGTTGTTTGTTTTTTATCTTATATGAAGCAGAAGACATCAAACTTTTAATATATCCACACACAAAATTTCATGGAACGTCACTTCTTTGCCTTTCGAGCCTCGTAGCTGATCATAGAACAGTGCGTCTTGCGACTGATATTGACCGGGGCAGACAGATATTCATTTTATCTCATGTCCTTAATACACATTCCTGTTTGGAGTGTTAAAAAATACTGCAACAGTTTTTTAAACTGATTAAAATTTGGATAATTTTGGGCTCCGAGACCAAGTTTTCTTCGTTAAAAACCCATAGAGCTTTGAAATAATATAAGGTGTACCCAAATTAAGCTCAGCTCGGGTCAAGGCGTTCGCCTCCCATTCAAAAGTCCCCGGTTCGAATCCGGGTAACAAAGAAACATTTTCTTCTCTAATAATGTCTCCTTTCACCTCCTTTCCTCTTCTCCATAAATGTTCTTTCGTCTGCCTTCGTCTTCACTTTCTGCCCCCATCCCCTCACCTCCTTTGCCGCCTCGTTTAGGCTCCTGACTCTTTCTGCAGCTTTTCTACTACTACTCCTTCGCTCCTTCTCACTGCTGTCTTTCAGCCACACCCTTGATCTTCTGGTAGGAAAGATCTACACCTAGCCTTCTCGGACAAGGTCGAAAAATCTACGAGGTCCCGTGTGCAAGTTGCGCACGTTAAAGATCCCTTGGTAGTCTAAAATCATTAAGTGTAGGCTTCGGCCGCCACCCGGGCAAAATTCAAAATTTCCTACCAGCCGAAAATGTTAAATGTGTCCTGCGTGCTCATATGACCTTATGCAGTTGTTAGCGCTGTAAAAGATTTGCCAAAAAGAAAAAAAAACCCAACAAACAAACATTTTAGTTATTTCCAAGGATATAATCTCTCGTAACACGAGCACGGTCCGTTTCAGAACCGTCGTGACTTCGGTGGGGAAGAAGTTTAACTCACCAGCGCCTGTGGTGTTGCTATTAAGCGATTCGCTGTCGCACGCAAGAGACCAGAGTTCAATTCCCAGGTGGGGGAAATTTTTATCGCAAATCTCAGTCTTTCTGGTGGTATAATGTGTTGTATCCCGTTCAGCCCGAGTTGGCCCTGACAGACAGAGTCAGAAGCTCGCCTCTCGACTGATATAAGCTGGGTTGATGGTGACGTAAGACCACCTACATTTAAAAGAAATGTTAAGAAAAAAGTTTAACTCGTGCTCAAAGATACCTGTGCTCCGAAAAGACCACTTGGCAAACATTTTGCTCGACCTATCTTTTGGAAGTATTTTCAACAGAGATTGCCAAGAAAACAATTATACATTATTTGTCCACGTATTATTGTTATTCTGTAAGATGGGTCACCCTTTTCTTACTGCATCTGCTGTGCAGTAGTTGGCGCTTCGCTGTCGCACGCAGGACACGTGAGCTCGATTCCCATTTCGGGAGAATTTTTGTTTACAGAAGTACAAGATTCAGATTTTAGTATTATTGAAAGAGCTTCTAGCGGCAATAGTCAATTGTGTAATTGAGGCCGTGTAAGGTTATTTTATCTTATTACTGCATCTTTTATGGTGTGAAACACACCTATCGTTTACTGTTTACAGTGTCTTCTGTGGCATTTCATAAGCATTACTAAAGTCAGAGTCAAGCGCTGCCCCCAGCTCCATACCGGTAAAACGATTCTTTATTTTGAGTAGAACGATGATACAGTCTAAAAAGCAACGAAAGGTAATCTGCGTTAAGATAAGCTACACGCGGCTTTACCAATCAGCAGCGCTTTTGGAACTTAATGAAAAAGTGATTTAGTTCTTGCTTACATCTTCCCGTTGTCTGTTTTAAGAGCCCTTTATCCTCTTTCTAATAAAGTGTCGATCGATTCTTAGGTGTTTACGACCTCACAAAAATAATGAAAGGTAAACATGAGGCAATGGCGAGGTGTTGTTTCATTCAAGGTAAGACAGTGCGCACTGCACAGAAAAGAAGGCCGTAAAGAGGAAAGCAACAATTGAAAATGCAAATGACTCTCGAAATGGGCGCCCTGCCACTCCCGGAGTAAAATATTTTAAAAGAATAATAGTCAGTTCAATAAAAAGGCTCTTCTTCCAAACGAACGTATTGGCTTTGAGTGTTCATAATTCACATACTTCTTATAAAGCCCGTCACAGGTTGAAATAAGCTTATTTATGTTTTAGGAAAACTGATCCTGCAATTCTTATAATGCAAGACAGACATTTGCCTCCTGCTATGTCGTGTTCGCGACGTAGAGTATTTTGATAATTTGAATCGACAAAGACCGAAAATGATCTTGCTGTGATCTATCATAATGTAAGAGACGTAGATGTGGCGACAGACTAGGCCTATAGCAACTCTCTTAGAAAGCTAACTAATTACTATTCACCTGAGCATTACCACCTAGAATTTTCCACCACTTATTTTTGGGGTACACAGAAACGTAATCCTTTGGAAAGTTGTATTCAAACTTCTGGAAAGGCGAGAATCCTCAGCCAAATAAATTATAAGTAAGACAACTGCTATTTCTTCTACTAGCTTACATTGCGTTGAGAAGGATAAACTCAAATAAAATAAAAACAACATCCCCATGCACTTTGCCCACTCCTTGTTTCGAATTTCTTCTTAGGAGTAAACAAAAACATAGCTGATCGAAACAACGACACAAAGACTGTCGTGATTATAGGTCATGTTAAGAAGAAAATTGCCGTACTTCATCGTTTCCCCAATAGTATGATCTTCATCTAACCACACACTTTTGCACATCTTGAACTTCTTTCAGCTCTGGTGACCATCCATAAGCCTGGTGAAGTTTCCTCGCAGACAGCAGGCATGATGAGAAAGGGCACCAGTTTTGGGGTGAGGCGTCATCGTTATTGTGTCGCACCGCGGAGGAATCAGGCGCTCGCCAATGTTGGGGCATATGGAGTGATAGATAATATCATCTAAAAGCTTGTTAATTTGATTTGTTTTTTATTTTTAAAATGCCTATCTACATGTCTCTTGAGTAAAGTAGAGATATTTGAGATTGATGGAGGTTGAGGTCTCCTGGTGAACAAATAGCGAAGATGAATGCCAAAGCTTGGCGACTTTCAAAGCTCGAGTGTCCTTTCAAAACTGCAAATTTACAATTCATGTGCCTTTGATCCTTAGTAAAATCAAGATATATATATATATATATATATATATATATATATATATATATATATATATATGTATAACAATATGTTTTTATCTTAATGGGCGTTAAACTAAAAGGTGTTGAACTAAATAAAAGGTTCGAATAAAATTACACAGCGAGCGGTAAAATACCAGTTTCTTCGATTTCATTGTTATATCGAGCGCTGGATTTTACCACGATATAACACATATTATAATGTGTTGTTTTATTGCTGTTTAAAATAAAAGAAACATTAATGATTTAAAAAACGAATGTATGAATGAATTAATAAATTAATTATAAATACAAACACGCACACCCTTCCCCAGGAGCTTGCCCTACTCCACCACTCCAGGCGGACAGCTACGGTGACCAGTCACGACACTGTCCAGTTGCTGTCCATCGGACGGGACGATTTCTTTGACATCTTCATGTCCGGCCACGGCACTGACCAGATGCCCGAACACATCCGGTTTATCAGGTAGGTTTTCCTACCTACATGTTGGGCGAGGGGGGGGGGGGGTGTATGAAGACAATAGCAGCAGCAGCAACAACAACAACAGCAACAACAGCAACAACAACCCAACAACATTAAGGTCAACAACAACAACAAAAACCACAACAACAGTAACAACATCAACAACAAAGACAACAACAAACACATCAATAACAACAATAGCAACAAAAAAAACCCAGCAATAACAACAACAACAACAGAAATAGCAATATCAGCACTCTCACCAGCAGCTTGGGTCAAAAGGAGTCCGACACTTTTTTTTAAACAAAAGAATCTTTTGTCTTTGGTGTGTTCAAAATTCAGTCGAGCCTCTCCAAGACGACTACCCATCGTAGAGAAGAAGAGTAGACATCTTTAAACCGGCAATTCTCTAAACAGTGTCTTTAAATTAATTTTTAAAATGACAGGAAATAATCGTGTGTATAGGTGATTGTCTTTGAAATGAAGTAGTTAAAGCATGTTCGACTGTATTTGAAATAAACTAAACGTAATGTTGTTATTTTCACAGTCAAATGGATTTCATGAAGGACTGGCCTTTGGAAAGACTGTTAGAAAGACCTGATCAGTGCCTACTGCATTTCTTCAAGTGAGTTATCGGTACCTGGCCTCAAACTGCAGTTGTCACATTATTCCCATATTATTCACCAGAGCAAGCTTGAGCTCCAAAATCTAAATTATGGAATTTTCGAAGACACATATTTCTGATAAAAAAAGAAACCTGTGTGCTTCTGGAATATCATTGTCTATTGGCTTGTAAACATCTTTCAGAATTAATTTAGATTCACATTAGTGTATAAGGGGGCGGGGTAGATAGATAAAACCAGGTGACCAGAAAAAACGTTTGTCCAAGAGAAAGCAGATAAAACCGTTATGAATAAAGGTGCAAACATCAAAGTTTACTGAAACGTACAGAACATCCATACGGATTTATTATGCATTACTAACAATAAATTATGACGGCTACAAAGAAAGTTATTTCTTCAAGATCGCTGTGCGTGAGGGTAACACTTTCGTTCCCTCCATGATGACTTCTCTCGAGTTTTGGATACCTTCGAAGGTTTCCCCACACACTTTGTCCTTCAAACACATCCAATATTCAAAGTCCAGTGGACTCAGATCCGGATTGTTTGGGGTACAGTTGTGCTCAGTCGGGCTGATTGAGGCTAATCTATCGCAGAACAGCTCTGGCGTTATGAGAAGCAGCCCCATCCCGCTGAAAGTTCTGGTTCTGTTCCCCATCATCATCAACAAATTAAATAGTTTCAAGCTTCTCCAGAACTTTAACAGGATGGCGAGGTATCGGTCAGAGTTCACCGAATCATGGACCACCCTAACCTTTTCAAGAGTGCTTTGTTTTTACAGGCTGCATACTGTGTTTTTATCGGGACTTAAGGATTCGAGTTCTGTTCTTTTATAGACCCAAACCTTTCAAAATGTGCAGCCTAATTTAAAATGGACCTTGTCCTTGGAACATTATCTTTGCTTCAGTTACAGATATGTATCCCGTATCCCCGAGCAAATAATGCACAGGTCGATTTGGGAGATTAACTTCATTGATACATCTTGACTGCAATAGCATTTGATATACAGGGGTAAACTACTTTATCATTTTCCGTTGCTTATAAATGATGGACTTAAAAAAAAATCGAACACAATCCGGATGTATGTTCTAGCTTTCCGTCTATTTTGATGTTAATTGAGTCATAAACAAGAAAGGTATTAACATTTCTTTAGACAAACTTTTTTCTGGTCAGCTTTAAACAGACAGACAGACAGACAGACAGACATACAGATCTAAGATAGATAGATAGATAGATAGATAGATAGATAGATAGATAGATAGATAGATAGATAGATAGATAGATAGATAGATAGATAGATAGAAATGTCAGATTAAACTAAGAATGGATCTGGAACATCCAAATTAATCTTGAAATTCTATCTTGAGGGATAGAGTGGAACATCTTCACTTATAAGATCTTATTAATATGTTTTCCAGGCGTAACATGGTCATACTGAAAGACAGTAAAGACTCAGAGTGGTTTTACATTGTGAAATCGGTAAGTACAATACATGTATTTATTATTTCTATTTTTTATCTTTAGAGCATCATTTTGTCACTATAATCTACTAAGCTCTGCTCAAAACAGTCACCGCGCAGTCGGCCAGCTTTGGTATTTGTTTATTTGCTTTGATTGGTGTACGTTCTGAGTTTTATTGTATGCTGTAAAGATGCTGGTTTTTGTAGACCTTGATAACTTTTCATTTGTTTCCTAAAGTTAAAAGCGCATTCTCTGCTGAAACAAATGCCAATGTGTTCTATACTCTCACATTCCAGGGCTCGTGTCAAGTGCTTAAGCAGCTGAAAGGTGTCACTGGGCACTTAGGACCTCTACGTCAGCAGTTTTTGCCGTCGCAAAGCCTCATGGGTCATCTGCAGAGCGGGGCGTCGTTTCAAGGTTTGATTGTCTAATGTTTATGGTGGCATTTATGCTCTTCTGATGGCCCATTTCACAGTAATTATGTAGTCTTTCTCACACTTTCAGCGCGCTGCAGTGTAGTTTCTTTATCATCAGCTCTCTTGGCTCTCTCTAACTGTGTTACTCTGCTTGCTTCAACAAAGGAATCTCTGCCACACATTCGCTTTTCCCTTTTTCTATTTCTCTCTCACTCTCTCTGTCTCTGTATCTCTCTGTCTCTCTCTCTCTGTCTCTTTGTCTCTCTCTGTCTCTCTCTG